GGATGGGTGGATGGATGGATGGACGGATGGGTGGATGGATAGATGGGTGGATGGATGGGTGGGTGGATGGGTGGATGGATGGGTGGATGGATGGATGGGTGGATGGATGGATGGGTGGATGGATGGATGGATGGACAGATACAACAGTGCATAGATGATTGATAGATGATAGATAGATAGGATGGGTTAGATAGGATAGAGTAGTTAGAGAATGGATAGATAGATAGATAGATACAGTGGATGGAGGAGCAGACAGAAAATGTGTGGATGGACGTACAGAAAGGTAATGCACACCTCCGTGGATGGACAGAGTGGGTTGATGGATGATGGACGGATAGAGTGAATGGGAGAAGTAGACTGGCGGACGGGTAGATAATGATAAATGGGTGGGCGGGCAGACGGAAGGAAGAATGGGTAGAGGGATGAAACGTGAATGAGCCAGTGATCCGTAGACAGACGATGGATAATATGGCGGCGGAGAGAGTCACGGCAGATGATAGACAAGCAGCTGAATATGCACAGAGGGCGCTTATGAACCTACACGTGCCCACCGTCCGATCATATTTTCAGTTGTGGGAGACGGTCCCATGCACCTCAATGATGTCCCCTTGTGCTTACTGATGGGCGTTAAGCTGCTCACCTGATGAATCCCAGATGGTGTCAAACGCATCCTCTCAGCCAGGCGCGGTGGGGCACAGCTGTGATCCCCGCGGCTCAGGAGGCTGAGGCAGGAGGATCGCAAGTTCAAAGCCAGCCTCTGCAACTTGGCGAGGCCCTCAGCCACTCAGCACGTCTGCTTGTGGGTTGGAATCTCCAGGTCCCTTGTCCTTTTGGGGGGTCGGGGCGGGGGTGCGTGGATCGGAGACGCCGGGACTCAAGTTGTCCCCCTCCCCCCCTCTTGTCTTCCCAGGGAAGTGGCACCTGGGCATGAACTGTCACAACAGGACCGACTTCTGCCACCACCCCTTGCGCCACGGCTTTGACGAGTTCTTTGGGGTACCCCTGAGCAACCTGAGGGACTGCAAACCCGGGGAGGGCACCGTCTTCGCCTCGGCCACCCGCTGGCTGGTGTGGGTCCCGCTGCAGGTCCTCGGGCTGGCGGTGCTGACCCTGGGGGCGCTGCGCTGCCTGGGGCTGCTGCGGGTGCCCCTGGCCGTCTTCCTGGGCCTGCTGCTCCTGATGGCCCTGCTGCTGCTCCTCTTCCTCTGCTTCCTGCACTTCTTCCCACCGCTCAACTGCTTCCTGATGAGGGGCTACGCCGTCACGCAGCAGCCGCTGTCCTTCGACAACCTCACCCAGAGGCTCACGGTGGAGGCCACCGGCTTCATACGACGGTGGGTGTCCCCCGTGCGCCTGGGGATCCTCGGGGAGAAGAAGCCGAGAGGTAGAATCACACTGGTCATGGAGTCCAATGTGTGCACATAGGGTGATCATGTCGGATTCATCACCCACACCCCTTCCCTCCCTTCAATCCCCTCTGCCTAATCCAGAGTACCTCGATTCTTCCCTAGCACAGCCCCCATGGTGAGTTAGCATCCACCTGTCAGAGAAAACAGCTGGCTTTTGTTTTTTGGAGGAATTGGTTTATTTGACGTAGCATGATAGTCTCTGGCTCCATCCGTTCACCAGCCAGTGCCGTGATTTCATTCTTCTTCATGGCCTAGTAATATTCCATTTTCTATACGTACCGCATTTTCTTTACCCATCCATCTGTTGAAGGGCACCTAGGTTGGCTGCACAGATTAGCTGTTGTGAATTGAGCTGCTGTAAACATGGATGTGGCTGCATCCTTTAACGCAGCTCTGAGAGAGACATGCCCGTGACTTGGTGGTCTGAACGGGGTTTGTGGGCTCTGGAGATCCAGCCGGTGGAGGCTCCGTCCTTGGTCTGGCAGAGTCGAGGTGGTTGGCCCTTTAAGAGGCAGAGTCCACCAGGAGGTCATTATTTCAATTATTTTATGACTCCCGGAACGGGATTGGTTGGCTGCAAATAGCTGGGCGTCTTTGTATTCCTCTGCGTTTCCCAGCAATGTCTCAAAAGCATCCATCTCTCATGCAAGGACCGTCCCCAAGTGGCCCTTGCATCCTGTGGCCGATCCTTTTGAGACCACGTTGACTTTGCAGAAGTGACTGAACCGCCTGGCCGTGTGAATCCGGGCCATCGTAGCGAGACACGGTCGTGGCCTCTCCGTGAAAGAGTTTGGAAGAGATTTGAAAATGTTTTCAATGATCGTAAGGATTCTGAAGCCTGACCCGATGGTTGGGATTCTACGGAGACTTTCTGCGATTTTTCTCCCGGAACCAGAGATCTGAGAAGTTTTAACAACACCGGACTTGGAGGTCACGGTTGCCGAGTTATAACGAAAGGGATTTTTTTTTTCTTGACTTCCTTGGAAATAAATGACTCTTATTCACACGGCTGGTATTAGGGGAAAAAACTAGCATTTTTAGGCCGTGATGTTGTTGACAAAAAAAATAAAAGTGCTTCTGACTTGCATTGTCTGACCACGCAAAGGTTGAAAGCAACAGGGTAAGAATCACGCTTGGACGAAGTGGCCTCTTGTGTTTTAGCAGTTACCTGATTCAACAGAGATGACGTGCAAGAGTCCCCAGAGGTTCACCTCCAGATAGTGCCAAAGCGTCACGGCAAAAGTGGCTCCCAGTGTGCGCACGGCATCTTTTTCCCCCAGAGACGTGACACACGGGTGCCTTTGAATTCAAAATTGCCCGATTTAAGTCCCGCACAGGGGTGCACACCTGTGATTCAGCGGCTCCGGAGGCTGGGGCGGGAGGATCCTGAGTTCAAAGCCAGCCTCCGCCAAAGGGAGGCCCTAAGCAACTCAGGGAGACCCTGTCGCTAAATAAAATGCAAATCAGGGCTGGGGACGGGGCTTGGTGGCCGGAGTCCGGGGTGCATGATCAGACTTCACAGTTGTTCACGGACGGCCTGCTCCACACACGGTACGGGTCCAACCCCCAGGACTGCAAAAAAAGCAAAGCAAACTGGGCCCAGTTGTGCACGCCCGTGATCCCAGGGACTCGGGAGACTGAGGCAGGAGGATCATGAGTTGGAGGCCAGCCTCAGCAACTTAGCAAGGCCCTAAGCAACTTAGCAGCAGGACCCTGTTTCAAAATAAAAAAATTAAAAAAAAAAAGGGCCGGGGATGTGGTTCAGTGGTCAACCACCCCTGGCTTCGATTTCTGCAAAAAAAGAAAAAAAGAAAAGCAGAATTGTGTTGCTACATTCATCATCATTCTGCAGACTTTTCTTCCGCCTTCAGAAGAGCCAGAGACTCCTGAATCACCAAGGGAAGCGTCAGCCCGCACACGGAAACCGGCACAATTAAACAGCCTTTCCCTGAGCCGCTCTGACCATTTTTTTTTTTAGCATTTGGGAACCCACATTTCTTCAGCGCTGGTGGACTGTAGTTTTCAGTCCCCTCTTGTCCTAGAAAGCAGCCATTGGACCCCAACGCAGGTCCAGCTGAAGAGCTGATGATGGCATCCGGTTTGCGATGGGGCAAAACCCCGCAGCGGTCCTGAGAAACCACCTCGGCACCCGTAGCCATGTTGAGCACACGACGAGGAAAGGAGTGATAATGCGTGAATCTAGGTAGATCTTTGTGGTTGTTGTTGTGGTGGTTGTTGTTGCGACACTGGAGATTGAGCCCGGAGGCACTCTACGGTGACCTGCACCCCCTGCCATTTTTTAAATTTTTTCTTTTGAGACAAGGTCTTGCCAAGTTGCTGAGGCTGGCCTCCAACTTGTGATCCTCCTGCCTGAGCCTCCCGAATAGCTGGGGTCTCAGGCGTGCGCCACCGCACGCACCTGGCTTAACCTGATGATTGTATTCACGCCGACGCCCACTCGTTAGTATGGTGGAGGGATGAATGACCAGGAACGAGATCCGTAGGTGCTCCGCACAGGTGCTCTTCTTCTTCTTGTCCCCCAATGCACGCATCTGGCCCGAGGTTGGTGGAATCTGTGGGTGCAGAGCCCCTGGACACAGCAGGCCTCCAGTGGACAGTTACGGGAGGATGGTCTCCGAGCGCCAGATTGGAAATCACATCAAAACCAAGAAGCCCCCCAGTGCGTCAGCCTCCCTCCTGCCCCGGAATCCAGCCACGTCCCGGGGGGAGTGGAGGGCAGAGCGAGAACCAGCCGTGGGTCACACCACGAGCAGCAGCGGACCTTACCGCGGGCCTCGGGGCATTACAGCGTCCTCTGTGCCTCCCCGGGAGCTGCCGCCGCCCACCCTGGGAAGGGGACCGACATCCTGTGTCCCAAGGGCCTTCACCAAGGCCGCTCCTTCCCTGTCGGTACGAAGGGACCCGCCGATCGTTTTGCAGAGAGAGGTGAAGCCAGAGGCTTGCAAGATGGCCTGCAGAACGAGTATTTCAAAGTGAGTGCTTTTCCCGGCCACGACCGAGTTCATGTTAGTTGCCGTATAGAGAAGGAGGAGTAAGATAAAGCAACCAAACTGCATCTCTCCCTGATCACACCGTACCTGCAGCACCTCTGTGTCCGCATGTCATGCCACCACAATGTCTGCAAGAACAACTGACAGGAGGAAAGATGTCCCTTTGCCTCACCGTTTCAGAGGATTGGATCCATTGTTGGCTGGTTTCTTTGCTCTAGGCCCAAGGGGAGCAGAACAAGATGGCGGCAGGGCCTGGAGGAGGAGAGCCGCTCAGGACAGGGCACCAGGGAGCAGAGAGAGCTCTGCTCACCAGGGACAGGACAGAGACCCCAAAGGCACAGCCCAGGGACCCCCTCCTCCAGCCACACCCCACCTGCTGCAGTCACCACCCAGTGAGTCCATCCAAGT